CGAGTTCTTCCGACATCGCGCCAGGAATCTGCCTTCTTGACCAATTCTACTACTGTTTCGCCGATTCTACTTCCTGATTGAGTTTTTCCTTATTTTCTGAACCCATATGTGTTCTACATATGGTTTTAGCCCCTGGGAATTCACGCTCCATCTATCCAATCGAACACTCCGTGCAACGACGGGTACATCCGAGTTTTTGAATTCACCAAACCATGGAAGCAAGTCTAACTTGTGGGGTCCCATCCATACGCGCCAACCCTTTTAAAGGTAAGGCTTTCGTGCGATGCATCCAGACTCATAACCAAGGACCCTCTTTGACTACCAAAATCCTTGAACTTTAGAGAACTAGAGCCACGGTTAGGTTGCAAACTCATTGCATCATGTTGTGACTACTTGACTACTTGTGCATCTCTTAATTGTGCATAAATATATCTGATTAAACTAACCGTTTTTGTTGACTTGTGTTTGTAAATAAAGTCTTAACAAACTAACTAATGACTAAAAAGGACTTTGCTTAATTAATTAATTAATTAATTAATTAATTAATTAATTTGGATTAATAAAGTCTAAATATACTTAACTTAGCAAGACTATAAGCTTACCCTTTCGAAAGAAATATCGAAAACAAGTTAAAACTAACGTTCCAGTTCTGGCGCGGAAGTTTGGCTTGTGACGCGAAGCATCAGCTCTCATCGCGATGCGATAGAAATATCGCGCAGCGATGGAGCCGATGCAACGCGATAGTTCCATCGCTGCGCGATGGTTCGGTCGTTTCTTTCCGAGTCTTTATGTCGAGTCTAATTCACATGAATAATTAATTTTCATTAATAACCAAGGTCTCACTTTAGTCATTGTTCGAGTCTAAGTCCCATGGTCATTACACGAGTCTTGAACATATCACTTTCACTCACAAGTCTTTGCACACACTTTGTACATACTTATTTTTTTTACACCATGACCATGTCTTAGGTCCATGCATGAGTCGTCCTTTTTGTCATTTGATTTGAGGGTCCATTCTATTCCTGGATTTTTCCACACTTCCTACAAATACACTATTTCCTTTTACATCATTACATACCTTACACTTTCCTCCTTATAACACTTTCCACATTCTCTCATCTTTCATGTCTCCCCCATACATATCATTCCCCTCATACACTATGATCTTTCCCCATCTATGCATGATCAAGTTTGAGTCAAGTAATTGACAATGAGTGTCCATGGTTTCTCCTTCCACAGTACTTGGTCAAGGAGAAAAGGGAGTTTAATCAAGAACACCTTTGTTCAACGCAAAAAAAAAAGTTCGTAATAATGGCCATTCAAGAAGAAGTTTTCTTAGGTAATACCAGGGAAAACTCGTCAAGTCTAAAAGAAGATGTTCATAAACTGCGAGATGTTGTTGCCATTCTTATGAGTGTGGTAGAAGGCCTAGCGAATCGGATGATGGTCATCGAACAAAACTCTCATCATCAAGATCGAAAGAATGAAAAGAACGAGTATCCTCCTTCTTTTTCTTCCCATCAAGGATTTAAGGAAAAACTTAATGCTCCTAAGCCGCGGATAACTCCGTTATGGAATATCCAATGGCTTAAGTAACCCTTTAGGCTTGCTTCTCTCAGCTTTCACCTTTTGGCCTGACATACACCTAGAGACAAATTCAGCCACTTCTTTCTTCATCCTCGGCCACCAAAAATGTTGTTTAAGGTCCTTGTATAGCTTGTCGCTCCCTGGATGTACTGAATATGGTGTGTAATGCCCCTCCTCTAAAAATTTCCTTTTAACCTTTTCACAATGCAAAGGTACACACCAACGACCTCGATAGCAAATGCTACCGTCATCATGAACCTTAAAGGGCCCAAATTCTCCATTCACCATCTTAGATTTTATTCTTTATTAAGCTTCACATCATCAGATTGTCTATCCTTTATCTGATCGAATATGGTAGGGGTAATCGACATTGCATATAGTTGTATTTCGGATTCTACCTCCCCATATTCCTTAACTTCCAAGTTCAACTTTGAGAATTCCTCGTATAACTTATCAGGGAACACCTATATAGCATTTATTGAGTGGCTCGACTTTCTACTTAATGCCCATTTTTCATAAATGGATTTATGAGACCCGAAATAAGACATACTTAAGCTTAATAATTATAATTAATAATAAATGAATTGGTTTGAAATTACGAGGTATTACATGCACTGAACCATGTTAAAAAAAAAAAAACCAAACCGCATTACTAATTTAGATCAGTTTGGTTGGGTTTTAAACCGTATTAGTTTCACCCCTACTGACATGGTAGGGCGCACAACCGCACATACAACATGTCAGCAACGGTAATAAGTAATCATTTATATAAAGTTTTTTGTTTTTAATATTAACGTAATTTTTTTTAAAAAAAAAACTTGGTAGGGCACGTGCCCCACCTGGACAATAGCCCCTTCTGCCACTCTTCACCAACATCTCGTAGTGCATGATGTTGAACATGGAATAAATCCACGATGTTAACAGGGGCGGAGCTAGGGTGGGACATGAGGGTACAGCTGTCCCCCCACTTAAAAAAAAAAAAAAGTAAAATAAAAAATTCATCTTATAAGGAATATGTAGTAGATAAGTGCATGCATAAAATAAAGACAACAGTTTAGACGACGCAGTGGTTAAGCTCTTTTTATAGAGCTTGTTCACTGTAGGATGCGGGATCAAAACCCCTGCTAGTTCATTTTTTACCCCCTTTTGCATGCAGCTTTTGTCCGTTTTTTTTACTTTAATTTTAAATATAATTATTATGTATGTATAAGACAATTTGCTTTTTTTTTTTTTTTTTTTTTTTTTTTTTTGTTAACAATAATAATTATGGTTGTAATAGGGAATCATGCTAAGTACATTTAATTATTTATATAATCTTATGTTAGATTTTGTCAAAATTCGAACTCGGCCATGAATAAATCTTTCTAGATTGTCATTGTTTAAGTACTAATATTGTATCATCGGAGGAGGAATAATTAGTATATGAAGTTGGATTCTTTTAGTTAGTGTTGTGGATTATCTTTAATTATTTAACTATCTGTTTAAGTATTGATTTTTTTTTTCCCAAACATTTTTGTCAAACTATGAGAGCTCAATTGTCCCTCGTTTCAAAATTTCTGATTTTGCCACCGGATGTTAATACTTTTTACTATTATTTCTAAAACTCTATGTCCGGAAAAATGAAACAAATAATAAAATATCATTGGAGAGTAGTGGAGTACTGTTAAAAAATGGTCAAATTATCTAGTCAAAATCCATAAAATAATGAAAAACAACCTCACGTTGTTCATCCCCATAGACTGATTCACCAACATCACGTTGTTCATGATGATGATCCCCCCATGGAAGCTTCTGGTAGTTTACCTCCTCAAACAGACCTCCCCTAACTTAAATGCTAATTAATGAATTTATTCATCCATACCATCAACGTTAAGTATATCAATTATACTTCCAAATCCAATCCAACCTTGTTTATTGTTTTTGTTTAACATCAATTCAGCTATAAATGCAGCAATAATTCAGCTCATTTCAATTCCAATTTAATCACTAATCACACATTCAAATTCATTGCATGCAATAGTCAACACTACAGATAAACTTGGAAATAATCTTCTACTAAAGTACCAAAAAAACACAAAAGAATGGTGACACATTCAGAGAGATTCAGGACATTTTTCAACAACAGATGGTTGGTATTTGTAGCATCAATGTGGATCCAATCGTTTGCAGGAGTTGGTTATTTGTTCGGAAGCATTTCACCAATGATCAAGAGTACAATGAAGTATAACCAAAAGCAACTTTCTTACTTGGGTGTCGCTAAAAATTTAGGTGACTGCTGTGTGTGAGACTCTGCCGTTTTGGGGTGTTTTGACAGTTGGGGTGCTCCATACTTTTCTTGGATATGGATTTCTTTGGCTAATTATCGCCAAACGATTGACTAATTTGCCTCTGTGGGTGGTAAGTTGCTGATTTTTTCTGCAATTTAAAGACTGATTTTGTTCATTTGGTACTTAACTTAAATGCACCTGTCGTTTCTTTATCAATTCTGTCCTGTAATTTATTTACAATGTTGTAAGTTATGATGATGTTATGATTTATTTGGTATCGCATTAACTTGCATTTTAGTAGTTTCTTCTTAATTTGATAAGGCATGAATCATCTTCTTAATTTGATGTTTTGCTCAAATTTTATTTGATATGATCAAATATGACAAATCCTGACAATGAAACTAAGAAGTTTGCTGAAATCTACTGTTATGATCTAAGTGCAGCATTTTTTCTTTCCTCTTATACCCCTTTTGGGTTTTAGCTTTAGTTCTTGATGATAAGTCAACTTTTTAACTCTTCAATATTGGTTTCGTCAAGTACCATATATAGGCCTTGTTTGGTAACTGACTACTTAGTACGTATGGTAATGCCTACTAACAAAACAAGGTGGTCAAATAAATCAAGTGAACTAGTCAATAAAACTGATTGACATATAACTGAACAACACAAAAATTACTGATTCTGTCATAATTTATTTGATGTTCAAGATTTGATTATGAGCATGTCATAGGTATAGTTTATAACTATGATGTATGACATATGGTCTTCCTCCCAATTGTTGCAGCTATTCATTGCCATATTTGTGGGAACAAATGGTGAGACTTATTATAATACAGCTGCTCTAGTATCATGTCTGCTAAACTTCCCTGATAGCCGAGGCCCTGTCGTGGGGATACTTAAAGGATTTAATGGCTTGAGTGGAGCAATTTTAAGCCAAATTTATTACTTCTTCAGCACTACTAATCGTGATTTCCTCATATTAACAATAGCAATTGTTCCCTCGATTGTTGTTCTTTCTCTAATGTTTGCTATAAGGTATGTGGAGGGTCATCGACAAAAAAGGCCTTCTGACAGTTTGAGCTTCTCGTTTGTCTATGGTGTTTGCCTCATCTTGGCTGCTTATTTGATGGGTTTTTTGCTCTTTGAGGAGTACTTGAATCAATCTTTGACCATAACTTGCTCTGTAATCTTGCTCATTATCTTGCTACTTCCATCAATAGTGCCTATCATACTGTCATTCTCTTCAGAACTGAATGATCCAGTCAAAGAGAGCCTGCTACCTGTTGAAACCATCATTAGCGAGGATGAAAGTGAAGTTGAAGGTAAAAGAAGAGATCCTCAACTAGGGGAGAATTTTACCTTGCTACAAGCTTTAGGAAAGACGGAGCTTTGGCTTACGTTTGTATCCCTAATCTTGGGTTCTGGATCTGGTATTACAATCATTGATAATATGGGTCAAATATCTGATTCTCTTGGATATTCCAGTCCAAGAATCTTTGTTTCAATCATCAGCGTCTGCAATTTTCTTGGCCGTGTTGGTGGTGGATACTTCTCAGAGATAGTTGTCAGGTTCAGTAATCTATCTTCATAAAAATCAGATCATATATTCATATAGTCATGCACTCATGCTACTTGATATTTGATTCATCTCAGTTTTTCATAATCTTTCTAATTACTGCTATATCAAAACCGAAAAAATAAAGTTTGGCTTATACAGGCTCAAAATCACGATAACACTGCTGATATAATGCTAGTTTTGCTTCTCTTATCAGAAAATACGCATATCCTAGGCTTTTGGCTTTGGCGATTGTTCAATCCATCTTAGCAATCGGGCTCTTATATTACGCTTTGGGATGGCCTGCATCAATTTATACATTAACTGTGCTAACTTCATTTGGCTACGGAGCACATTGGGGGATCGCCCCTGCAGCAGTTTCAGAGATGTTTGGTTTAAAATGCTTTGGTTCTTTATACAACTTTATTATACTTTCAATGCCTACTGGATCATTTTTGTTCTCTAGCATCCTTGCTAGTCGCATCTACGACTACTATGCAGAGACACAAGGTCGGATTGTAGACCCCAAAGTCGATTTGCAACTAGGAGATGAAGGTTCACATACTTGTATAGGTAGAATATGTTATTCCATCACTTGTGCTATTTTGACAGGAGTTGTTTGTATTGCTGTTGTACTAAGTCTGATTGTTGTTCGACGGACTAGGACTCTTTATACTCATCTTTATGCGAAGTCACAAGCTTGACTAAAGGCTTGTGGTAGTAATTGAAGAAAACTTGAAAGTGCAAAAGTTCACAAATGGGTTCATACATTTTTTTTTAGTCTTTTGGGCAGCCTCTGTTTGTAATTGATTTTCCCATTTGAACTTATAGAGATTTTAATGCATAGAACAAATTTTTTTACATAAGTCATATGCCTCCCTTTTATTTTTTTAATTGTTATAGTTTTACCGGTATATATGTATTTCTCATTGAAAATGAAGAGTTATAAGAAAAGAGAAGGGATGAGCAATGAATATGCTTTTATAAGAAATTAGTTAAGTTAGAGGTTGACCTGATTATTGGGTGGGTTAGACTAGGTTGGTGCGGGTCAGGTAAAAAAAGTCACATTTTGTAGGGCCAATAGCAGATTGGGCCAATGCGGGGCGATATTGGACGGGCCAACAACTATCAATTAAAAAGATTATATATATATATATATATATATATATATATATATATATATATATATATATATATACACACGATAATATGTACGTTATTTTATTATTATTATTATTATTTTTTATATTATTTAATTTCTTTATCTAGTAAATTGGAGAAACATTTTTGTCATACATTAATCCTACCTAATAAGGACCCTATCTATTAAGGGCCCTTTAAGCCTGACCCTAACCCTATTATCATTGGGTTACCTTACCCGATAATATAATCAAGTCTAGTTAGAGGGAGTACTTGTATTACATTGCACTACCTAGTTTTCCATTAATTAATTATTAGTTTAATGAGGCTATTGAAGTCGATGGGAGTAATTTAGATTTCCTAAGCATTTCATCAGCTCAGGTTTTGCATAGATATTTTCCATTGATTTTGAAGAAAAAAAAACATGAAAACCTAAATGAAGTAATTATAATTATAAGGATTTCTACACGTGCATCATTAAGTTTTTATCAGTTTTCCTCATTAAATAAACATGGTATAATCGCGGAGTTTATACATTATTTCACACTTTTGCTTATTTTTCCTTAATTTTGGATATAACTTGATTAACATTATCAAAATTACTTTTTTTAAAAACTTTTTTGAACACACTTTTTTTTTCTAAACTTGAAATAAGTGAAAATATAGTCTCTACACCAGCAGCGAGTGGTGTTGACTCTGTTGAGTGTGTGGCTAAGCTCACACAAAGGAAGGCCCATTCTGATTATAAAAAATCTTATCGAATGGGTATATTCAAGGTTTCACACTAGTCAGCAACAACTTCCAAAAATAAGGTGTCAAATTTGCACACAATTCACACAACATTGTTTTACGTGGAGTTAGTGTAATGGTTCATTTTAGTTCTAACAAAGAGTGATAAGTGGCTCTCATTTTCTTCTCAGTTTTTTTGGCAGAGATCTTCTCATAAACTTTTATGGCCCAATGCTTCAATGTATTTGGTTGGGGCCCATGGGGAAACATCCTTCTCTATGTTCTCATTTTTTTTTTAATCAAAAAAAATATTTTGTGAATATAAATTATATAAAAACTCTGTTCTATAAAAATAAACACTTTTGGGTTCTTTAGAGCACAAAACCTGAGTAACTACCCATGTCATTCTAGCATCACTTTACTTGTATATTTTCTAAGTTATTTCAAAAAATCCTATGGGTAACTTGAAGTGATCAAAGGAGTGATGTAATTTGGACATTTGGTGTAACTAGTAATATAAATATCTGATAACAATCATTAGTATACAACGGAGTACTTAGTATGTATATATTATGAGTACCATATATTTAAAATTATAATGCATGTTTGTATATATCAATATATGTACATTTTTTATCTTGATAATTCTTATCGAGATATATTGTATTCTTTAACATTATTATACATGATGTTTGCATTGTATGTATGGTCAATTTGTTTCCTTTTTAAGGGGATCGATTTCAATTGAAGCAATAATATGTGGATTGATGTAATTAATGTTTAGTTATTCAGCTTATTTTCAATTTATTCTTTTCTATCTTCCTTATGTCATTTTTATGATTAATATTTTTTATTATAAGAAATTTAAATTAGATCAAATTTAATATAAGATTTGAATAGAATATGTTCACAAAATATGTTTACAAAATTTAATACAAATTAAAGTTTGTGAACATAAATAAATGCCAAAAAAAATTAAAAAAAAAAGTTTAATACAAATTAAATAAAAATATGTTCACAAAATCACAACGAGGTAAATGCTCCCTACGGCGTTTAAATTTAGATTAAATAAGACAAAAAAGTTAACGGAACTAAACATAATCTAATCCAAATTGATATAATCGTAAGGGGAAAGTAATAACAACCCCATATTAATAGGCCTCGATCTGTCTTATTATTCAAAAATGAGTACCAGCTAACTTGTCAGATTATAATTCAGAAATTTAGTAGCGGCGACGATAATTTCGGATATATTTCAGAAACTAAAATTATTACTCTTCCTTATCAATATTATCCATCTCGGACTCATTTTACGTCACACTTTTTTTTTTGTTTATATATTTATACTCCCCTTATTTTTATTTTCCTAATTAAAATTTGTGTGTTTACCACATTCCCCTTCTCCTTCATCTTTATCTCTTCAATCTCTCTCTTTCTCTCTCCTCGGCAAGATCAACTCGTCATTTCTCTCTCTACCGCCATGGATCCTTACAAGGTTACTACTCAATCTTTGCTCTAATACTCAATTTGAGACGGTTTCTATTTCATTGATTAATTGTATTTGGAGTTTTTGATTTTTGATTTTGATTTTGATTTTGTTGAATTTGTTGTTTGATTGAATTTGAATTTGTATTTGTGGTGTAGTTTCGGCCATCAAGTGCGCACAATTCATCACACTTCACCACAAATTCTGGGGCTCCTGTTTGGAACAACAACTCTTCTTTGACTGTTGGCAACAGAGGTTATTTCTTTTCTATTGATTTTTTGGTATTGATTTAAAGATTAATTATTAGTTTTAGAATGGATATTTTTTTGCTTTAATTTGATTTTTCTCTAGTTGTTGTTGTGATTGTTTTTATTTTTGATGATTTTAGCATCTGATTTTCAATTTTAGGAATTTTTTTTTACAAAATTGTGATTATTAAAAACTATTCATCTAATAGTAGGAGCGGTTCGAAATTGATATTGGCTCAAAATTGTTGAAACTAGTTCAAATTGGTGGGAACCGCAATAATTTGTGGAAAGTAATTTTTCCAAAATTTCAATTGAAATCACAGTTAGATGTAAGCTTAAATTACATGATTTCAATTGAAATCACAGTTAGATGTAAGCTTAAATTACATGAATTCATATTTGTACAAATACGGAGTGAAGTTAGCTTTTATCATTTGGATAATTATAGAAATTAAGTAATGTACCAACAACTAAGTAGATATCATAAATCATAATAGGGTGTAAGCTTCTACAAGAAGCAAATCAGTTTTACTTAATAAGGAGAAATAGAAAACAAAGGTAGTTTAAACGGTTTTAAAGGAAGCAAATCAGTTTTACTTATAATGGATGCCACTGTTTCTTCATTACTATTGACTTCATTAAAACAAAGTTTATACAAACTATTGATATCTTCCTGCTTCTTTGCTAATTGCAAAACTTAATAAGGGTTTGACCTAGATGAGTTTGTTAATGGCTGCATACAGAACAGTGAAAGGGTTGACTTATATGGGATATTGATAAAATTCATGAGTTTGGTTAAGAGAATTGAAGGAAGAAATATGCTGACAGTGCTGTTACCAAGAACACGCTATTGGGGAGAGAGAGCTAGCTAAAATTAGGACAGTTTACAGGAAAGCTTCATCTTTGGTAAAAAACGGAAGCAACTACTGTAAGGCATTAAGTTCCTTGATGGCCTGATTTACTAAGTGTAATCAGGGTTAAGGAGGTCTCTTAATAGGAAAGGATACATGAATCGAAAGATGGATTTAGGAGTTGTCAATTTTAACTCTAAACTTCTAAAGCAATTCCATTAAGTTGCTTAAGGAAAGTGAGTTCAATTACAATTCTTTGCCATATGTAATTTGTGCATCTCATGCTTAATGTTGGATAACTCCTTGTCGTACTAAGTTTTTTAGAAAATGAGATGAAAGTTGAGCATGTTAAAAAAATATATGTAGTGCAATGTTTGGATTTCGAATGCTTAAAGATACTATTTGACCTCAGAGACTAGATCTCATTTTTGGCATATATGTCAGAACTCAGAACCATGTTCTGCAACTTACAAAGTGGTCAACTTTTCCAAATGTTTTATTTCTATTTCTGTATTACTAGATAGAAATAGTTTTAGCCAATCGAAGTAATAGTGAATTTAGTGATTGCTAAAATGCGTGGTTGAGTTATTTATTGGTTCCACATAACATGAGAAGGCACGTATACTTTACCAGTAATAAGGCTATGTTCTGCTCAACTTAATTGGACTTTTTAGAAAAACTACATAAAGGGAATTTGAGATTGAATAATAGAGAAGTGTGTACCCTGTATTTAGTTTAATCCAGCTTCATTGGTTATTTAGGTACACTACCTAGACCCCAACACTCAACATAGCCAAATACCTCAATTAGGATGAGTAGCTGAGTAAGACTACTATCAGCTTTTGCAACTAGGCACCTCTACTTTTTCCTTTTATTCCTCAGCACATTAGTGATGTGTTTTGTACTCTGATGACATAGTTTACAGAGTTGGATGTCTGTAATTGGTATGGGCTGTGCTGATGTATCTTTCTGAACAGGCCCCATTCTTTTGGAGGACTATCATCTTGTGGAAAAGCTTGCTAACTTTGACCGAGAGCGTATACCAGAACGTGTTGTTCATGCCAGGGGAGCGAGTGCTAAGGGATTTTTTGAAGTTACTCATGATATTACACACCTCACATGTGCTGATTTCCTGCGTGCTCCTGGTGTCCAGACACCTGTGATTGTTCGGTTCTCTACTGTTATTCATGAACGTGGGAGTCCTGAAACCCTCAGGGACCCTCGTGGTTTTGCTGTGAAGTTCTACACCAGAGAGGTAAGGGCCAACTCTATAACAAATTTTTATGGCATATAATGTGATACTTTTTCCATTCTTGGTAGTGTTTATCCATGCTAGGGTTGGTTGCATTATTACACTTACACTGCTGTTAATATCTAGTTTTAGAACTATGTGTTGATACTAATGGAATTATGCCATCTACCTAGTTTATTTTATATGTTCTTGATCATTTAAAATTTAATAAGCTTCTCTAGTTTCAAACATAAATACTACTTTAAAAAGTACCTGGAAAGGTGGATTTGTCCATGATGCTGAATATAACCTCTGCTGTATGGTAGGCTGGTAGCTCACTGCTTTAGTGTTGTGATTGGTCAGCTCTTATCTTGACTAAATCATAAATCTTTTAAGCTTTGTTTGCATATTTTAATCATCCTCTTAACATCGAAGTGGATGCTCCATTGTTTTTGATGCTAAAGCTTTAGTCTCGTATTTCGCTCAACAGCTTATATAATGTTCCTAACTTTATTTATCACAGGGTAACTTCGATCTAGTGGGGAACAATTTCCCTGTGTTTTTCATTCGTGATGGTATGAAATTCCCTGATATGGTGCATTCCCTCAAGCCCAATCCTAAAACCCACATTCAAGAGAACTGGAGGATCATGGATTTCTTCTCTCACCATCCCGAGAGTTTACACATGTTCACTTTCCTCTTTGATGATGTGGGTGTTCCTGCAAACTACAGACACATGGAAGGCTCTGGTGTTAACACATATACTCTGGTCAACAAGGCTGGCAAAGCATACTATGTGAAGTTCCACTGGAAGCCAACATGTGGAGTTAAGTGTCTGTTGGAGGATGAATGCGTCAAAGTTGGAGGAGCTAACCACAGCCATGCTACTCAGGATCTTACTGACTCAATTGCAGCTGGAAACTATCCTGAATGGAAGCTGTTTATCCAGACAATTGACCCTGCTGATGAAGATAAATTTGACTTTGACCCCCTAGATGTTACCAAAACATGGCCTGAGGACATTTTGCCACTTCAGCCAGTGGGTCGTATGGTCTTGAACAAGAACATTGACAACTTCTTTGCTGAAAATGAGCAGCTGGCTTTTTGCCCTGCTATTGTTGTTCCTGGGGTCCACTACTCAGATGACAAGCTGCTTCAGACTCGAATTTTCTCATATGCTGATACCCAAAGGCATCGTCTTGGTCCCAACTACCTGCAACTTCCAGTCAACGCTCCCAAGTGTGCTCATCACAACAATCACTATGATGGTTCCATGAACTTTATGCACAGAGATGAGGAGGTATTTGCTGCGGTTTCAGTTTCTGTTTCTTGCTAGTAATATTTCTGCTTATTTTTTTGCTCCAATTTCTTACTTTATGCTGTTTCTCAGGTGGACTACTTTCCATCAAGATATGATCCCGTTCGTCATGCTGAGAGATATCCCATTCCTGCAAATATTTTGAATGGAAGGCGTGAAAGGGTTAGTTCTTTTAATTGTCTGCTGCTTGTTTGTGGATGTTTCATGCATATATATTCCATTATACTTGCTTGGAAAGGATATTAGTATATCATGTTTTATCAGTTGGTTAGTATTGAAGAACTCTTAACCTATAATTTTTGGCACCAATTGCTGGGAGGTTAATTTAAAGAAAACCAGTAATTTCGTAATTCTCTGACATTAGTGCTCATGACCTCTCTACTTTGGGTTAATTTAATTATATTATTTTGATGATTTGGGTTTTGAAATGAACATTAACTGAATGAAAATCTGATGGACTATATTGTTATCCTATTAATGCAGCAAATCATTGCAAAGGAAAACAACTTTAAGCAGCCTGGAGAGCGATACAGATCAATGGACCCAGCCAGGTTGGACTCTTTCGTAGCTGCACTTTCAGAATTCATTCTTATTTTTGGCTTTCTTTTGATATGTGTATCGATTGTGTGCTCATATATCCGTCTCATGGTGCATCCAGGCAAGAGAGATTTATCTGCAGAGTGGTTGATGCTTTAAGCGACCCTCGTGTCACCCATGAGATACGCAGTATCTGGGTTTCATACTGGACCCAGGTAAGTGTCCAATTATTTCAAATTACTATTTGGCATAGCTGCAATCCTCTTTGCAATACTATATATCGAATATCAATAACACTTTTTTTTGCATCTGTATTCAGGCTGACAAATCTCTGGGTATGAAAGTTGCAAGCCGACTTAATGTGAGACCAACCATGTAGAGATGGTCAACATGAATACATGATTGTTCTATATGGGGAGATCGAGATGAGGATTGCAATTGCAAAAAACTGTAATATCTAGCTACTTTGTGAAATACTATAAACTGTCAGTACTCGGATCATAGAACATGAGTTTTTTTTATTAAGTTTCTGTTGTTCGTGTTACAGACTTGCTTGCAGTACAATGAGTATGTGTCCTGTAATCTCATTTTGATTTCTACTATTATTGATGTGTAACCCTATTGGATTACTAAATATGGTTCTGTATCTGCTATGGAGCGCAAATATTATACATCATATTTATGAACATAATTCACTACTCATATCTTCATGCGCCATATTTTTTCATGCAGCTTATTTGATTTCTGTAGGTCGTCATTTTTGTTGGGATATTACTTGGACCCAACTTTGAAATGCAAGTAAATTTTCAAAAGATGGTAGATTTGTTAAATGACTTAAATATAATCCTCGGTTTTACTCATTTCTACACTTTAATTTTTGTTATCCCCAATAATTAATGTGTACTTTTATTTATTACCATCGTTTTACCAAAGTCACCTTTTCTTTTCTTTATTTTTATTTTTTTGTTTTTGGTTGTTATCTCAAGTTGTTTTAGGAATGGTTAAAAATGCAATATTAGAAATTTAGCACTATGTTATTGTGTCGGCTACTTTTTACAACTTATGTTCATCCAAATATGTTTTGACACACCATTCAAAAATAAATTATATTTCGACACAAATTAGTCTCCCTCAAAATTATTGTATATCAACATGTTAAAGCATAATGATCATGCATTGGGCGTATTATCTGAAGTAAGCATTATTGCATCAGTGGATATGGTTGTTTATATCAATTTGTGACCAACACTGGGACCATGACTAGCTCCATAAGTCATGGTCTTATGGACCCACCAATCCACCATTCTACATTTTGTTAAGCTTTCATTATCACCATTAAAGTCATAAGAAATTAAGAAATTTAAGGCTATCTTCTTTTCAAATTGATTATAAATTGTATTACGAACTTGAAGGATATAGTAATCATGGTAAAAGGAAAAAATAATTATAATGGATAAAAGTACAACCTTGAGTCCTCAAGTAGTTGAGTAATATCCCGTGAAATATGACGTGTTTATACTTATTCCTTGTCAAAAAAAAAAAAAAAAAGTTTTATACTTATTCGTCTAAGTTAAGCCATAATCTATCCCTTCTGATTATTGCAAAGGTCATACACATTAGTATAAAAATCAAAGCGACCGTTTCACCTCTTAGTTAGGACAAATATCTCTTGATAATTGGTTCACCATCTTCTAATTCAATTGACTTATGAGGGTTTTCCCAAACCAACGACTGGATTAGTGCTCTTTCAAAAAGAAGGTTGACAACCAAGGCACCAATTTGCTCAAAATTGTACCCTAACTAGCAATTATTAATGATTTAATTTACATACTTTCTATATTGATGAACATGATGAAGTAGACATGTAGTAGTACAACTATAATATACAACTTTACGAGCAATCACATTACAATATCTATCTCCTTAACTTCCCAAAGATCCCAACCACTATTTGATCTACCGCACACCATTATAATTTTAAGGATACCACCACACAAATCTAAATCTATTCTACTGCGCGTCATTTATATTTATTATCTACTTAATTGGGGATTAGATTGCTTGACAACAAAGGAATTTGTAACATGATACTTGTATGATTTATACATTTAATTTATAAGTTTAATTTATACGAACTATGTAATTGCATAGGTACAGTCATTAATAAGCAAATCATAAATGTTTTATTTAGTGTTTTACCCCTTCTGAAGTTTACCTTAGATCAGAACATGCACATAATAGAATATTCCAGATTTAGTTGTCACATTATTAACTCATTCTAGACAGAAGAACAGAGAACATATGCATCACACACGGGAAGATAAGAAAGGTTAAGTACGAAATGTTACCTTTTGTTACTACACTTCTTGTAGCAAGTGATCTGAGTTATTGTCCTTAGCTAGATCGGTCTCCATTTTCTGTGATGTGGCTTAGCTTGCTGCACGTCCTTGAAAAATACTGGTAAAGTTCGTGGTGTCGTGGTGGTGGTGAAGCCTCGAGGGCCGGGCTTGCGGTTGTGCAGGAAAAGAGAGACGAGTACTAGAGGGAATATGGGAGAAACGGGATCAAGAAAGCAGTCATGACATAGTGAACTGAGGAAGATACAAAGAAGGATCAAAGTTGGTGTAATAACTTGTCAACTTTGTCGCCCACTCAAATTATTGTCACTTGAATGACTTTATAATTCTGTAAATATATATTTTTTTATTAGGAAAAAGCCACTATTTCTTCAAAATAAAATGAATATAATTAAACAAATAC